AGCCCAGCAGGTTGAGGCTGCGGTGGCTGGGAGCGGCCACTGCACTCCAGTCTGGGCGACCGAGTGAGACTCCAACTCAAAAAAAAAAAAAATCAGATGGATTGAGGGATGGCTAGAGGTCTAGACAGACATGTGGTAACGTAATAACAGGAAAACATTAATGGTAGAATCCAAGTGGTGGGTATATGGGTATTCACTGTATAACTCTTGCAACTTTGCTGTATGACTGAAACCATTTTCTAATCAAGGGCTGGAGGGAATAGTTATAAACTCCTTTTCTTCTTCATGGCACCAGTTTCCTAAGCTTTCCTCAATTGGAGCACAAGCTCAGGAAAGGAAAAAAATCTATGCTTTTTGGCTCACATCATCAAACTGAACTTCAAACAAAGTTAAAAAGAGAAAGCCCTAAATATCAATGACATCAAAACAACAACAACAAAAAACAAAGAGCTCCCTAAATCAATAAGGGCAAGCAGACTTTAATTTCCATTCCAACTCAATCCCTTTGCAGTAGCTTCTAGGAACACCCTGGTGAAAAGAATATCAAAGCAGTAACAGGCTTAGGAGGAAAGAATGCAGGTGTTGATGAGTGACACCTGTCTCAGACTCAGGAGTGAGAGAGGTGGCCCAATTGCTGTTCTTGCCCTAAATGCATCAACTATTTCTTTTTATTTTTTTTTTGAGTTGGAGTCTACTCTGTCGCCCAGACTGGAGTGCAGTGGCTGCTCCCAGCCACCGCAGCCTCGACCTGCTGGGCTCCGGCGATCCTTCCACCTCAGCCTTCCACGTAGCTGGAACTACAGGTGCGCACTACCACGCCTGGCTAACCTTTTTCATTTATTGTAGAAATGAGGTCTCGCCAAGTTGCCCAGGCGGGTCTCAAACCCGTGGACTCAGGCAATCCACTCACCTCAGCCTCCCAAAGCGCGAGATTACAGGCTGAGCCACCGAGCCCGGCTGATGCATCAACTATTTCTACATTGTAGAGCCTCTGCCAATCCTTCTGTTTTAACGGACCCTTTTTTTCACTGATACAATTATCATATACCTACATATATACATTTAGGAAGGCATTTTTTTGCACATTCAGGTCTAGATATGGAAATAAAATGACATAATTCTTTTTCTTTTTTTTAAGTCGTTGTCTCACTCTGTCACCCAGGCTGGGGTGCAGTGGCACCCTCATGGCCACCGCAGCCTCTACCTACTGGGCTCAGGTGATCCTTTTGCCTCAGCCTTCCAAGTAGGTGGAACTACAGGCACGCGTCACCACACCCAGCTAATTTTTGTATTATTGTAGTGATGGGTCTTGCCAAGTTGCCCTGGCTGGTCTCGAACCTGTGGGCTCAGGCAATCCTCTCACCTTGGCATCCCAAAGGGCTGGGATTATAAACGTGAGCCACTGCGCTTGCCCGACTAATTCTTAAATAGAGAAATACAGTCTCCCTGAAAGGGTGACTATTAACCCAGGAGTCACCCAGCAGCACTCAGGAGACAGGACCCCACCCTATTACCTGGCCAAAGACAAAGCAATACAGCGTCACACCCATGGCCCAAACATCCAAAGCCTGCAAGAAAAAGAAAGCTGAGGGTGAGGGGACAGAGCATGGCCCAGCCCCCAATTCTCTATTGTTCCTTTGGGGAACCGACCCATCTCATCTATCTCTCCAGCGAGCTGGGGCAGGGCTGATTGTAGCCCCTTGCAGCTGGGGTGGGCGCATGACCCAGGCCTGTGCTCACTCCTGGCCAATCAGAGCACTCCTCCCAGCCATAATGATTGGTTCAAGACCGGGCATACGACCTGTGCGGACCAATCAGACCACCTCCCCCAGCCATGATTGGCTAAAGGATGGGCACGTGATCTACGTTGGGCCAATCAAAGCCAATCCCAGGGCTTTCATGGGAACTATTCAGAAAGTACAAGGCTGTTACCACAGAGGTTGGTAAATGATGGAAAGTAGCCCCGCCGGTGGGTGCCTGACCAACCTGTGGAGGAAACCAAATCAGGAAAACTGACAGATAAAAAGAGACGGTTCCTGTTTGAGTCCCTGGATCTAGCCAAGCCTGAAGCCAAATGCACGCCACTCCTCAGCTATGGGACCCTGTGGATTCACTGGTTAAGCCCGTTTGAGTTGGAATTTTGCTGCTAACAACCCAAAGGAGCCTAACACAGGAGCTCAGCAGCTCGGGAAGATTCAAACCTACCTTCCCAGAGAAGATCTTGCGCGTTTCCGAGAGCGACTCGGGCGCCATGAAGGCGGGCGTGCCCACGGTGTTGGAGAGGAGGGCGTCGCTGCCCTTGAACTCATTGCTTACGCCGAAGTCTGCAATCTTGATATGTCCGTCGTCCCCAACCAGGAGGTTGGAAGGCTTGATGTCCCTGTGGATGATCTTCTGGTAGTGTACTGGGGGTGGGGTGAACACAGGAAGAGAGAGGGGGCAGGAAAGCCCATGAGGACCTGCACGTGGCCACATGGCCTGGAGACACAGACATGGCACCTTCTGGTGCCTCCTCTCCCGGGGCCCCAGGCTATCCCTAACCTGCCCCTCCCCACACGTGCTGAGCACCCACTTGCTGGGAATGACAAGGAAAAAAGAGTGTCTTTAAGGAAGTACCACCCCTTCGTAAAAATGAAACACCAACTGCCAATAGCAATTTGAAATTGCCTGTTACTTTTTAAGTCACAGGTGAGAGTGCATGGAAAGTTTTTATTGAGCTGGGAGTGAGACTAGGGACAGTCAAACACAGTTTCATTTACCAGTGGCCACACGGCTACTTGTTCACAGGACCAACAATGACCAAAGCAGGGTGAATTTGAAGTGTGAGCCACAAAGCAGAATTGGGGATTTGCTCCGGCCTATGGCTTGGCTAAAATGTCCCGCCCATGACAGAGGACAATCTTATGACTTGGAAGACTCAACTGCCATTTCTAGGTTGATAATGATGATGAAGATGCTGTTATCAGTTTAAAAAAAAAAAAGCAGCTCCCTTTGTTAAGCACCCAGGGGGCCTAGCCCTGTGTTAAGTATTTCACATTTATCCCAGTTAAACTTCACAATAATCCTACATGGTAGGCAGGGATGAGAGCCCAAATGTTTTAACAATCAGAAGCAAAAAGGACACCTGCCAGTCAGAACCACTGATGCATCCTGGCTGATCTCAACCCCAGTAAGAGATACTTCATTCCCATTTTATAGATGAGGAAACCAAGGTTCTGGGAGGTTAACAGGACCCTGGTTCCAGGGTCACTGGGAGGAATAAGAGACAATGCAAGTAGAGCCCCAAACTGTGCCTGGTACACATAGAAAGTGCTAGATTGATGGTGACTGCTACTAGTGCTCTTCATTTTTCTGTGTGGCAGGAAGAAAGGTTTCTGTTCACCAGGGCACAGCCCCAGGAAGCTCTTTGTGGCTGTCCCTGACTCCGCAGCTCACACAATTCTGTTTCCCACCCACCTGCTCCAGGAAGGAAACAGACACTTTCTACTTCCCACCCACCAGCCTAGAATGCTAACTGCTGGGTAGAATACTCCCGCAGGCCCCGCTTACAGTACTCGATGCCTTTGATCAGATCCTGGAAGTAGAAACGGGCCTGGTCTTCAGAGAGTGGTTTGAGAGTTGGTACTTCCATCACAGGCCTGAAAGGTTGACACATTATGAAATGCAAACCAGACCCGCTTGCCCTTGCCCTCTCTCATGAGCAGAGACCTTGCGCCATATCACTCAGTTTAGCAGCACAAGAAGCTCTGGTGTCACACCTGCCGGGGGCTGGGACACTCACCCTTGGTTGACCAGTTCAAACACTGTAGGAAGAGAAGAGGGTAAATTGTTACAGTGGGAAACTGGAAATCCAACTTCCTTTCAGTACTCCCACCTCCCGACCACCTGTAGAAACACCAAGAAGCACAAAAACTAATTTTGGGGATAGGGAGAGGAACAGTCCAATGAACCAAAGCTGGTCAAGGTCCTGCTTTGCAAAGTTCCCTTCAGGGGGCAAAGAATCAGACGTCTCCGGGACCCTAGCCTGGCTTGACTTCTAGTGCTCAAAATGGCCAAAGATCCTTGGTCAAAGAGAACAAGGCAGAGAGAAAGAAGGAGGTAGAGCAGCCTGTGGGCTCCTTCTGTTCCCCCACTCATAACTCAGAGGTTCCGGGGAAACAACTGATGATAAACCCAGGTCCTCAGAAGCCTTATGCCAAAGAACCAGTCTAAGGGGACATCACCTAAATGGCCTAAAGTCGTACCCATGGGTTCCTGGAATCCTAGGGAAGTTTTAATCCAAGAAACTGCAAGAACAAGTTTCAATAATCCTTTCTGCATTCTCCAAGCTATAAAGCTGTACCAGGCTACCAACTAAATTGGATAATAGGGTTGTTGGATAATAGGGCACAAGTTCTTCAACCCTTTGTGATCAGCCATCCCTCTGATCCCCTCATAACTCTTGATCTAAACCAAGACTAAAGGTAGGGGTGGGGATTTCCCTACCGCCTCTACGGTCACCTCAACCTGTCCCCTAAACTTTGTGATCCACATTCCCACAGTAATGCCTCACCATGCCAGTTTCTTCTCTGCCCTATGTTTATGGAAAGCCACTCCTCCACCACCAGCAAGGATTATGTAAACCATATTCAGGTAATGCACAGGTTGCTGTTGGTGTTTTTCATTTGTAAAAACTGAGGTGAAATTTACATAACATAAAATTTTTTTTGGAGTCGGAGTCTCACTCTGTCGCCCAGGCTGGAGTGCTGTGGCACGCTCACAGTCACCGCAGCCTCGACCTGCTGGGCTCATCCGACCCTTCCGCCTCAGCCTTGCAAGTAGCTGGAACCATAGGTGAGCGCCACCATGCCTGGCTAATTTTTTGATTTATTGTGGAGACAAGGTCTCGCCATGTTGCCCAGGCTGATCTTGAACCCGTAGACTCAGGCAACCCTCTTGCCTCCACCTCCCAAGGTGCCGGGATTATATCACACTCGGCTAAAATGAACCATTTCAAAGGATATCATTCAGTAGTATTTAGTACATTCACAATGTTGTGCAACCATCACCACTATCTAGATTCAGAATATTCTCATGACTCCAAAAGGAAACCCTGACCCATGAGCAGGCACTCCCCATTCCTCCCTCCCTCCAGCCCCTGGCCATCACCAGCTTGCTTTCTGTCTATGGGTTTGCCCATTCTGGGTATTTCATATAAAGCCTTTGTGCAGACTTTGTGTCTGACTTCTTTTACTTAGCATAATGTTTTTGAGGTTGGTTTATGCTGCAGCATGGATCAGTGCTTCATTCCTTTTAATTGCTGAATAATATCTCATTGTATAGATATGCCACATTTTATCCATTGAACTGTTGATGGGCATTTGGACTGTTTCTACTTTTTGGCTGTAGTGAATACTGCTGCAGTGACAGTCTGCGTATAAGTGTTCATGTGCAAGTATTTGTGTCGATGCCTGTTTTCTTTTGGGTGGATACCTAGGAGTGGAACTGCTGGGTCATGCAGTATTGGTTACCTAATTTTGTTCTGCTGGGACGAACAAAACTGCAAATATGAAGCTGTACTTTAGGAAGTGAAAAAACAGCATAGTGGATTTCAAAAACCAATGGAGAATGACTTTGGAGTTGTCTATTATTCTGGAATCATCTATCCACAATGGAATGACCATGGGATAGAAACTAAAGGGTTGCTTCAGAGTTCTCCAAGGGCTGAGGGAACCGAGGAGAAGAGGGAAACTCCTCAGACAAAAAGAAGTCTTAAGTGTTCTGATCACAGAAAGAACTTAACTCTCCCAGACCACTCCTTGTCTTCAGGTTCATCAACCAGCACTGGGCAAACCCAAGTGAGGCAAAGGCTGTGCTGAATGTATAGTTTCCACATACAGCCAAGTGCTGGCCCCCTCAGCTCTGGCCTTTCCTGTCTTGGCTATTTAAGTCCTGCAAGCTTCATGAATTTCTGCACCTTCCACCCACCCAAGCACCATAAATCAGTCGGCATGGGGGAAGCTGGCCTGTTGAAACAGATCTATTTTCAGTCACCAACAGTTCGACCACTGTTGGGCTGAGCAGTGTGTGGAATTTTTAACCTCTAGAAATACAGAGGGCTGGGCACAGTGGTTCACACCTATAATCCTAGCACTTTGGGAGGCTGAGGCGGGAGGATTGCTTGAGGCCAGAAGTTTGAGACCAGCCTGGGTAACATAGCAAGACCCTGTCTCTACAAATAACTAAAAATTATTAGCCAGGCATGGTGGTACACGCCTGTAGTCCTAGCTACTTGGAAGGCTGAGGCAGGAGGATCACTTGAGCCCAGGGGGTCAAGGCTGCAGTGAGCTGATTGCACCACTGCATTCTAGCCTGGGTGACAGAACGAGAACCTGTCTCTAAAAAGGACACCTTCTTGATAGCTACCGCTTGGCCTCATGCACTACACCGTGAGTCTTGGGCTCATATGGCGGTGGCTGGAAAGTAAAAAACAACTGTTTCGGCATTTTCAAAACCATTGGAATCATCACACACCCAAAGTTAGCAGGGCTCCTTTCCGCAACTGCCACCTCAAAGAGTAAAAAACTGTTCCTTGAGCTGCCTGGCTCAAAAGATGAGAAAACGTCCTTGAGGCCATGTTCTCCTTATATTCATTCCACTCCTCAGGTCAAAACCCTCTAAGGGCCTCCACCTCCCTCAGAGACAAAGCCAAATCCTTACAAATGGCGTCAAATGCTCCCTGCCACCTGGTACCCACTCTCTTGACCAAATGTCACCTCATGAGACATTCCCTGAAGAACTATCCTATTTCCCAATCCCCCAGCCTGGAACTCCTGGCTCCTCTTACCCTGCTCAGGTTTTGGTTTTTGCTTTTCACAGTGCTATCACTTTTGAAACCTATGCATAATACTCAGGTGAGTGCCCTGAGAGCAAGGATTTTTGAATTTTGTTCCCTGATGAATACAGAGCAGGGTCTGACAAGGTATAATGCTTGTTAAAAGAATAAACACGCCAGGCTCGGCGGCTCAGCCTGTAATCCCGCACCTTGGGAGGCTGAGGTGAGTGGATTGCCTGAGCCCGCAGGTTCGAGACCCGCCTGGGCAACTTGGCAAGAACTCATCTCGACAATAAATCAAAAATTAGCTGGGTGTGGTAGCGCGCGCCTGTAGTTCCAGCTACTTGGAAAGCTGAGGCGGAAAGATCACCGGAGCCCAGCAGGTCGAGGCTGCGGTGGCCAGGAGCAGCCACTGCACTCCAGTCTGGGTGACAGAGTGAGACTCCAACTCAAAAAAAAAAAAAAAGAAAAGAAAGAATAAAAACAACCTCGTCAGAAATAGCCAAAACTATTCAGAGCTGGGTCGGGGGTGAGAGAATTCGCTAAGGATGTCATTCTGAGCCAAAACTACTTTTTTTTTTGAGTAGGAGTTTCACTGTTGCCCAGACTGGAGTGCAGTGGCACGCTCATGGCCACGTAGCCTCCAGTGCTGAATGCTGGCCTCAGGTGATTCTTCCACCTCAGCCTTCCAAGTAGCTGGAATCACAGGCACGTGCGACCATGTCTCACTAATTTTTTTTCTTTTAATTTTTTTATTTTGAAGATATGGGGTACATTTCAGGGTTAGGTATACAAATGTTCATTATGCAGGTATCCTTGTTGATGAAGTATGCCCCCCTCCCCCGAATTTTTTTTTTTTTTTTTTTTTTGAGTTGGAGTCTCACTCTGTCACCCAGACTGGATTAGTGGCCGCTCCCGGTCACCGCAGCCTCGACCCGCTGGGCTCTGGTGATCCTTCCGCCTCAGCCTTCCAAGTAGCTGGAACTACAGGCGCGTGCTACCACGACCGGCTAAATTTTTGACTTATTGTAGAGATGAGGTCTTGCCAAGTTGCCCAGGTGGATCTCGAACCCGCGGGCTCAGGCAATCCACTCACCTCAGCCTCCCAAAGCGCTGGGATTACAGGCTGAGCCACCGAGCCTAGTTCCCTGAATTTTTTGATTTATTTAAAAGTGCTCACTTTGGGAGGCAGAGGCTAGAGGACTGCCTGAGCTCAGGGGTTCGAGACCAGCCTGGGCGACTTGGCGAGACTTGTCTCTACAATAAATCAAAAAACTAGCCAGGTATGGTGGCGTATGCCTGTTGTTCCAGCTGCTTGGAAGGCTGAGGCAGAAGGATCATCTGAGTCCAGTAGGCTGAGGCTGTGGCAGCCGTGAGTGTGCCCCTGCACTCCAGCCTGAGTGATAGAGTAAGACTGCCTACTCAAAAAAAAAAAAGAAAGTTCCAGCAAGAACTCCCTTTCACCACCTGCTTCCAACCAGGGGTGCAGCCTTCTGTGGGGCCCAGCTGGACCAGGAAGGGAAAAGCTGTCTTTAGTGGGAGGTGTGAGAGGCAGGGGCTGCCCTGAGAGGCCCCCTGGGCATTGGCAGGCACCATTGCCTGCAAAGAGTGCAGAAGGAAGAGCGCTCTTACCCATGTACAGATGGTCCTCATTGGGGTCATCCAGAACCTGTTGGCACAGCCACGCAGAACAGGCAGGAGGCAAGGAGCGGGGGAGAGGGAGAGAGAGAACAGACATGAGCAGGGAGGAAGCAGCATCCACACGACTGCACTCGCCAGCAGGAGGGCTGCATTTCGCGCTGTTCCTCCTAGTTAAGATGCAGGGCACAGGAAGACGCCACAGAGTGCAAGATCCTAGTGGCCATTTGGAAAATAAGCACCTCCTAGTCCAATCCTAAAGGGGTCAAAACTCTCAGAAAGGAGGTTACCAAAGAGAGGAGCCAAATCCTCTCCTGTGCAGCATCTCACGCTTGAATAAGAATCTTGTCTGTCTCCTAGAAGATGAGACTGGTCTTCAGGGTGAAAATTCCAATCCTGTCTAGGCTCAAGTGACGCCTCCATGAAGCATCCCCATTCCCCTGCCCCTGCAGAAAATGCTGTCTCCTCGCCTGGAACTACCCGGTACTTTCTCCCTCTCTCCAAAGGGCAGGCGCCAGGCAAGATCCACCTTGGTTGCTTTGGTGGTGTCCCATCCGGGGCTGCTCTGGAAACATCTGATAAATGAACAAACAGATGGCCAGCAAAAAGTTCTACTGGGTAGAAAGGCCAGATCCTGCCAGGACCCAGGGCCACTAACTAACTAACCAAATGTCCTTCCTCTAAGATGGCCGACTCCAGCACTAGTGAATCAAGGTACGAAACTCAATGTGACAGATGGAGATGACCTGCAGCTGCCATCTCTCTTCTTTGGGAAGAAAGGCAAGCAGGCTCCTTGACTAGACTGGTCCTGCCTCCTAGTCCCACATCATATCTACCTTACCCAGCCACCCAAGATCAATAAAATAACAGGTCCTGAGAAAGGGATACAGGCTGGACAGAGCTAGGCATCCATCCCATACTGAAGCCCTGAGCCGCGCCCTGCAAGGAAGTCAGACCCAGGGTCTTGCCCACTCAGAGTTCTACACCAGATGGGCCCCAGGCAAGGTGGCGGCTAGCCCTTCCATCTACCAAAGGCAAGGATGTAGCCCCTTAAATAGAGACTTCTCCATGCTGTTCCTCCTCCTGCAATGCCCTTTTCTGTCTCCTCTACAGAGAACAGGAAGGGCATCTCAAACAATACTTCCTCTGAGAAGCCTCTCCCAGCCCCATAAGACTGAGCTGGCTGTTCCCACTCCATATGCCGGGGCATTCTGGATGTCCAACATAGTACTTTATCACAGGGTACTGACAAGTCCTTGTCATCTAGGCTTGAGGTGTTCCAAACGTGATGCAGAGACTTCTGGGGAATCCCCAAGAATGTTTTCAGGGATTCCACAAGGTTAAAACAAGTTTCACATTCAAACTCACTCTCTACTAGAGTACGGGGGTTCTCCAGAAACCACATGACATGTGATGTAACAACAGGCTGAACGCAGAAGCAGATATATGAGAATCCAGATGTCTTCTACTAAGACACTGGCCGGGTACAGTGGCTCACACCTGTAATCCTAGCATGTTGGGAGGCCAAAGCAGGAGGATTGCTTGAGCTCAGGAGTTTGAGACTAGCCTAGGCAACATAGGGAAACCTCATCTCTATAATAATAAAAAAAAATTAGCCAGGCATGGTGGTGTGTGCCTGTAGTTCCAGCTATTTGGAAGGCTGAGGAGGAAGGATTGCCTGAGCCCAGTGGGTCGAGGCCATGGTGGCCATGAGCATGCCATTGCACTCCAGCCTGGGCAACAGAGTGAGACTCCAACTCAAAAAAAAAGAAAGAAAATGAATAAAGAACCTGAGCAGGAGGCCCAGCGCTGCGGGTCGAGGCCGTGGTGGCCGTGAGCGTGCCACTGTACTCCAGCCTGGGCGACAGAGTGAGACTCCAACTCATAAAAAAAAAAAAAGAAAAAAAATACTGTAAGAAAGTGATTGGCAGTAGCAGGACACTGTGGGGTGTAAGAATACAACATCAATAAGGGCACCTGATTCAAACCAGGCAAAGTGGGGACCAAAGGGAGGCCCAAACTTTACTTGTATGATGACCACTTATATACCTAATCCTGAATTGTACCCCACATCTTTAAAATAAAAAGTTCTTTAATTTGAAAAGACTGTATATATACATATATTTCTCATGTTAATGTCATAAGCTCATTGTTTGTTTGGTTTTTTTGAGTTGGAGTCTCACTGTCGTCCAGACTGGAATGCAGTGGCCACTCCCAGCCACCGCAGCCTCGACTCACAGGGCTCCGGCGATCCTTCCACCTCAGCCTTCCAAGTAGCTGGAACTACAGGCGCGCGCTACCACGCCCGGCTAATTTTTGATTTATTGTAGAGACGAGGTCTCGCCAAGTTGCCCAGGCAGGTCTCGAACCCGCGGGCTCAGGCAATCCACTCACCTCAGTCTCCTAAGGTGCGGGATTACTGGCTGAGCCACCGAGCCCGGCTAGTTTTAAATCTTAATGTGCTAAATATTAATATATAACTTACATAAGCAAAAGGGCTTTGGGGTCTTCACAAAATTTTAAGAGCATAAAGGGGTCCTGAGACCAAAAAGTATGAGAACTGCTGATCAAGAAAGAGCAGAAGTTGGCAGTCTATGGCCTTCAGGCCAAATCTAGCCCTCTGCCTGTTTCTATAAATAAAGTTTTATTAGAACATATGCTACTTTAGTCCTTCAACTACTCGCATGTTTAGTAAAAAGAGAATCAAGTTCAAAAAGACAGAAATGGGTGAAGGGGCCAGGCATGGTGGCTCTCGCCTGTAATCACAGCACTTTAGGGGGCCAAGGCAGGAGGATTGCTTGAGCCTAGGAGTTTGAGACCAGCCTGGGCAACATAGAAAAGCCTCAGCTCTACAAAAAATAAAATAATTAGCCGGGCTCAGTGGCTCAGCCTGTAATCCCGTGCCTTTGGGAGGCTGAGGTGAGT